TCAAGAGCTCGGATAATGTCTCAGCCTTCTTTGGAGGATCTACAACTACAGATGAGTCCCTTACAACTGAACAGGATTACTCATCCTCACAAGCTACCTCAGAGGAATCAATAGCATCAAATCGACATGAACAACCCATCAACTCAATGTCAAGCTCAAATAATCCTCTTTATGGAGATCCTAAAGCTTTCTTCCAAGAAGAGGATTTTTCAGATGAATTGGGACATCAGTTCCAAGAAAAACTAAAAATTGATCAAGAATTTGATTCAAAGGATATGCCAGTTCTTGTTACAGGAATGTCAAGCATTGAGGAACAGTTAAATGAGATGCAGAAAAAATTGGCAGAGAAAGAAGTTGAGATAGTTGCCCTCGCAGCTCAAATGGCTAGCCAAGCTAGTGCCTCAGCACCAGAACATGTTCAAACCATTGAAGAACCTTAAACTTCTTCAGTGCCAATTACTCAGGCCAGATTTGAAAACATTAATTGCTAATGGAATTCGAGAATTCCAAGCATCCATGACTCCACCAGTGCTTGGGTATCACAGGCCATTATCCTAGTCATTACGATACTATCCCATTTCCTCATGGTTTTTCGAAACCAAACTTTAAAAAATTCGATGGGATTAATGGGTCACCCCAAGAGCATCTTGCTCACTTTTATTCAACATATGGGGAGTCAGCCTTTTCTGAGCCTTATTAATAAGGCAATTTGTGAAATCCTTAAAAGAGTCAGCATTCAGTTGGTACACTCAATTGCAACCAAGTTCGATTATCATGTGGGATGATATGCAAAGGGCATCCTTAGCCCAATTTGTTTAGTTCAAAGAAGAAAATCTCAATAATTGACCTTCAATGTATTAATGACTTCATGACAAGGTGGAGAAGTCTTAACCTTCAATTCTCTGAATAGCTAAGTGAACAATCTGCAGTTCAAATGTGTTATAATAATTTGCTTCCAGAGAATGCAACATTTGTAGCACGGCAGAAACCCCAGTCATTTGACGCTCTTGTCTCCAAAGCTAGCAATGTTGAAAGACAAATAGCCCAACAAAGTAGTTTACCACAAAAATCTCGGATGACTGAAGAGAAGAAGTTTGATAATAACGAGAAGACAAGAAAGATGAGGCCATGCCTAAATTTGTCAATGTCAATAAGAAAAAAGAAAATGGAAAAGGAAAGGAAGTCCCTAAAAATGGGAAAGAAACTTCCAGAAATCCCTCTTTAAAAGAAAGAAAGGAAGTGAAATACACTTTCGAAGATGATGATGTGGAAGATTTTTAACTCATTGCTATTGGCTAAGGCAATAGAATTACCAGAGCCTAAGCGACCATCCGAGGTTAACAAGACCGATGATCCAATTTTTGTCGGTACCATCGGATTATAAGTCATTCTCTGAAGGATTGTTATGTCCTTAAGAATATTATTCAAGAATGGGTGAATAAGGAGATATTGAAATTCAAGAGTCCTCCACTGCTGCCACTTCAAATAATATTTCCTTAGTTGAGAATGAGTCCATCCCCACAGTCATGCTACCAAAGGGGGCAATTCAAGTTGCTTTTGTTGTCGACGGTGAGGTTACCTATCGGTATGCTTATCCGGACATGCCCCATTCGAAAAATCTGACAATTCCAACACTTTATGAGCTTATGTGAACCAAATTTGGATTTTTGGAGCGATTCTTGTGAATCAGGAGATGAAAGTGGAGATGAGTGGCAAACACATGTCAGCAAGAGAACTAAAAAGAGGACAAATACTTTATCCCCTAGTGTCGAATCTTCAGGCCACCATGGAATAAAATTTCGAGGTAAAAAGGTGGATAAAAAACAAGAAAAAGAAAAGAAGACTCAAGAAAACTCAAGTCCATTTGGAGGATGAGTATGTCCAGCCTAAGAGAGTACCGATTACTCTCGAAGAGTGCTTACCCACCGAATTCTTCAAAGATGAAGATGTTGAAGAAGAAATGGTGATGCAATGCTGCATGGCCACATGCGAGGAAGGTTATTTGTTTGACCCCGAGGTTGATGAGATTACCTTACGTTCTGGACGACGCCTTCCGTCACCTCCAAAAGCTCGACAAAATAAAAAGGTTGTAGAACCCTCACCTTTGAGTCCTTAAGGTCAAGTGCCAAAAGAATCATCTGAAAATGAGGAAGCTATTAAGCTTACCAAGGGGCACCAACAAAGCAAAGGTCTGGAAATGCATCATCCCCTATGAAGGTTAAATGTGATGTCCTCGCACATCTAAAACACATTCCGGCACTTTTAAGTGTATATGATGCTCTACATTTGTCTAGAGAGCTTAGAAAGACGTTGATTCAAGCATTGACGAGTCCCGATCTCTATGTTGATAATGTTGAGCCAGTAGATGCTCAACATTCACTGAGGCTATGTGCTTCATGTATGGCCTGCATTACCTTCATCGATGATGATCTTCAGTTGGGGGTGGAATACCACAACCGTCCTCTTTATGTCATTGGTAAAATTGGAGACACTCAAGTGAATCGAATTATGCTTGATTGTGGTTCAGCTATAAATCTACTTCCTCTAAAGATGTTGCATGCCATGGGTATGTCAGCAAAACATTTGTCACCATCCATGCTAACAATTCAAGGCTTTAATCAAGTAGGGCAAAGAGCCCTAGGGACCATCAAAGTGAAGATTGAAATTAACGATTTTCACACTAGGGCCATTTTCCATGTCATAGATGCTGATACGACATACAATGTCTTGTTAGGACATCCATGGTTGCATGTTAATGGTGTCATTCCCTCCTCACTCCACCAAGTTTTCAAGTTTTATAAAGACGGGGGGGGGGGGGGGGGGGGAAGACAGTGGTGGTAGACCCAAATCCATTTGGGAGTGAAGAAGTGAACTATGCTGACGCCAAGTTTTATAAAATGACAAATTCTCATTTTTCTGCTGATAGCCGAAAGGATAAAGAAGCTATAACGAGGAATGAGGCTAGCTCCAAATCATCAACTTCTCAATCATCAAAAGCTTCAAAAGTTATCCGAGTCAAAACAACTCCTAAAAGGGTCCAAAAAGGTCAAGCTTCAATTGCACTGAAGGAAAGATTAGTTCTGAGGTATGTACCAAAAGAGCAAGGAAAATTAAAAGAAGGAGTTTTGACTTCAGTTCGAGATACAATGTCGTCACTTACTATAAGTTACACATGTCCTCTTCGAAGGATAAATCAATCAATCTCTCAAGACATTGTAATCTCAACCACATTTCGAGAGGATGAAAGTCAGACAAAGAGATTTGTTTTCTTTAAAGAGAGAACATCGAATTTTCCTTCATCATCAGCTCTATACAATTTGGGATCCCAAAAGAGTAAAGTTTTCTTTAAGAAGGGAAAAAAGAAAGTCATAACTCGCCAGAAAAATGACATTCCCATGACTTCCTCTTTGAGGCAATAGTTTTCACTAATAAAGAACAAGTTATGTTCAATGAAGAGGAGGGTGGCAAAAAGCCTCGAGTTTCAGTTTTTCAATGGCTTAGTGGTTATTCAAAGCCTACATTCCAAAAGTCCAATGTGAACAAGAAATGGAAGTTGAAGTAGAAAATTCAAAGGAGAATTGTCTTGAAAAATGTTAAGGGAGTTAAAGCAGAAGAAAATCTACAAGAGATTGCACAATTCAATTGTGTTTCCTTCGAAGAAAATAAACCAGAGGATTCTGCGGATACAAACCATGATAACTATTTCTCACGTAACATTCAGCTAGTGCCACCTCAAACTGAAGACAGGGGGTACGCCAATGCAAAGCAAGTTCAACGTCGTTTTCGACTGGAGCTAATTGCACAAAGTGAGGATGAGTTGGATGATTTAATAAGTGCTGGTCTTATTCAGGAAAATCAATATCCCACTTGGCAAACAAACAATGTGCATGTTAAGAAAAAGAATGGACAAGTTCGCATCTGTATAGATTTGAAAAATCTAAATGATGCATGCCCCAAAAATTTGTTCCCACATACAATTACCACATTTTTGGTGGATGCAACCAGTGGGTTTGGTGTTTGAGCTCCAGCAAAGATTTGAGATCTACCAAGCCCAAGTGGTAGGTGCCTTTAATAAAAAGGTCAAATTTCGATCCTTATCGATTAGTGATTTGGTTTTGACCATAAGACGACCGGTTGTTATAGCGAGAAGGATGAAAGGAAAGTTTGAATCAAAGTGGGAATGATCATATGTCATCACTAAAGTTTTTCCCAAAGGGGCTTATGAGCTTTCCAATTCTTAAGGGAAGTGCACGTACCCTAAGTGAATGGGAAGTTCATTAAAAAGTTTTATACTTAAAAAAAAAAAAAAATTTTTTTGAACTACGTTGGCATGATCCCGCGAAGGGTACGTAGACAATCTAGTTTCACTAGGTGCAGCCACCAAAAAGTAAAAAAAATATCAAAATTGAATTATGTTGGCTTGATCCCGCAAAGGGTAAGTAGGCATTCTAGTTCAACTAGGTGCAGTCACCACCAAAATAAAATAACCACTAAAAAAAATGAACTACGTTGGCTTTATCCCGCGAAGGGTACGTAGGCAGTTTAGTTTCACTAGGCACAACCACCCAAAAAAAAAGGTAAAAAAAATTTTAAAAAAAATTGAACAACGTTGGCTTGATCCCGCGAAGGGTACGTAGGCAGTCTAGTTTCACTAGGCGCAGCCACAAAAAAAAAATTTTGAACTATGTTGGCTTTATCCCGCGAAGGATACGTAGGCAATCTAATTCAACTAGATGCACCCACCACCAAAAAAAAATTAATAAAATTTGAACTACGTTGGCTTAATCCCGCGAAGGGTACGTAGGCAGTCTAGTTTCACTAGGCGCAACCACCAAAAAAAAAAATCGAATTACGTTGGCTTGATCCCGCGAAGGGTACGTAGGTAGTTTAATTCAACTAGATGCAGCCACCCCCAAAACAAAATTAATAAAATTTGAACTACGTTGACTTGATCCCGTAAAGGTTATGTAGGTAGTCTAGTTTAACTAGGCACAGCCACACACAAAAAAAATCAATCAAAATTTTCCACCAATGACATTTTCAATTGTTTAAACTGATTAATGTTCTAATAAATTTGAAAGTCAAGAGACTCTGAAATCGTTTATTGGTGATTGCTGATAAGGGGGTCTACAAAAAAAAAATTAGCGTTTGCCACAAAACAATTGCAAGAATTAAGAAGTTTCTGAAATTCTTCTTTACGAGCTTCAATTGCTTGGAATTCCTTATTTTCTGCCTTGAGCATTAATTTTTGAAACTCTTGATCCACTTCATCTTGTTCTCCTAAAGATGACTCAAGTTGTTTGACTCTATCCTTAAAAGCAGATTGCTCAATTTCTAATTGAGTTCTCATAGTTCGGATTCTTGATTCTTCTTCCAAAATTTGTGCTTCTTTGGTTTTCAAGTCATCTGATTGCTTTGGAAGATTCATTAGCTCCAAGCTCAAACTTTCTTTCACTCTCAAACATTCAATATGGCGAGTAGCTAAGTCATTGATATGAGCCACATCAAATTTAGTACCTTGCCTCAATACAATGTCATCACATGCGATTGTTTTAGACAATTCAAAGGTTTGTGTGACAGTTTTGGCAAACCAATTGACCTCATCCATCCCTGAATCAGTTTCAGTAATCAACCCATGGATCATTTGAAGCGATTTCATCACTTTAGCTCTAGACTCTAATAAGATCTCAGGTGAAGAACATGCTGAGATTTGATTAATTATTTCTTGCATGAGACCAGTAACGAAGTTTCTTGTAAGATGATCAATATTTGGTCCAAGCTCAGTACTTATCAATGGCAAGAATCTCTCTAATGAGAAAGTAGCTTGACAAGGTTCCAAAGGGAGAGTAGTTGATGGATCAGCCATAACAAAATCATCCGAACCATCATAATCAACACACTCATCGTCCAATCCGGTATCGAGCCTCTTCATATCACTCCCCTCAAGATTACCAAGTGCTTCACCTTGGTTAACCCCAGTGCCAGAAGACTCATCCACTGGAAGATCTTTGTAAGGTACTCCAGCATAGCTAGCATCCCCATTTGACCCATGTGACCTTTCATAGCGAGCTCTTTTAGGATTTATATCATCCGAAGAAAGTTCTTGATGGTTTCGAAATTTTATTCTTTCACCAAAATAAGTTCTCCCACAATTATCATGACTAGTAGTCGGAATTGTACCTGCAACCTCGGTCAGCTTGATGGCTCTCCTTATTCCCCTGGTAG